TGCCGATTTGGTTCTTAATAATGCTGAATTCCAAGTATACGAAATTTTTTTCTACTGGAATATTTTTTCAAGTAAACTGCATTGATTTGATAGTACTGTCTTTAAGATAAACCCTTATAACACAGATGAGTGGCTGTATTCTTAACTTAGAATTTTTGTTCTTTTGTCACAAACTAATTTTTCTATTACTCACTGATTAATTTGTGACAAAAGACCTTCTAGCAATTAACATCACTGGACATAATATGATATGAACCGTTTTCTTGGCTATTAATATAATTCTAATTCTATAAATATAAGACATTGCAGACAACTTTTCTTAAATGTCATAGCATGCTAATACAAAAATAATGACAAGTGCAGTATAAGTCATACACTGAGCATTACACATCTTTAAAGCAAAAATTTCACTTTCCTGAAAATTTCAACATTTTCCCCTTAATTATGTCGAGATATACATACTATATTCACAAAATAATACACAGAATAAAGAACAAAATTAAAACTACTTGTTGTGTCCTTCTTTATGGAAATGGAGACTGATGATCAATGCTCATTGCACTCCTCTAACAGTGCAAGGCATACAAAGCGACACACAACAAAGAATCTGCATGTCCTGTTCTCATTTCATTTTGTACAGCATCCATTTTCTATGAAACTGAAACTAACAGAAATGTTAATACGGCAAATGTCCAAATGGAAAATGCAGAAAGTTACGCATAATCATGCTAGCATACGTGGACTCCATTATTAGGTGTTACAGATTATTCATCAAGGGCTCGCTATAGCCATATTCACAATGCATGAGCTCATTGCCAAAGTTGCTATTTTGGTAATGATCAACTTGCAAGTTCTAGAATAGTTTTTATATTAATTACGATGCTCTGTTGGACAGATGACGGATGCATCTTTTGATATATACCACTACAATTAGAGCAGTTTCATACTAATATTCTTAGCAAATGCTGAAGTGTGAATAAAAATTGTCTGTGTGTTACAATTAAGATGCTTATTGGAAAATATTTTTGAGAAATTGGTTCTAAATTGCCAAGTTCTAAGAAAAAGACTGTATATTAGACAAGTAAGTTAAACATTTATTAAATAAATAGAAAAGTTTCTTTTGGTTTGAATTCCAAATCTCTCCGCCGTTTGTCACAGTCTATGGTTGATAATAACTCTTGAATGTTGAAATGTGTTGAAAACTGTGTTTATAGGTTATACAATATACACTTTATATAGAGAGCTCCACAGTATTTTATTCACAATACCTCCAGTCTTAGTCAATATCTCCACTGGACAGATAGGTTATACACATTAAACACTTAGAAATGTAGAGAACTTCCTCGGGTCTCAATTCCCAATTTTTTGAGTTCTTCCTCCAGTTTCTTTTGGCTTTTATTTCGAAGTTCTCAGTTTATCAGATACGTCTTGGATTTTAAATTCCCAAGTTTTTAGTTCTCAGTCAAAACCAGAGTTGGCCAGATAGTTAATACACCAAACACTCATTAGAGAAGATCTTTTAGTATTAATTCCCAATTTCTCAGTCTTCACCATGATTATCTTGGGTGTTTTTTAATTCCCAAATTTTGAAGTCTTAATCCTTAATCAAGGTCTCTGTTGGGCAGGAGTTGTTGAATTTACAGATTTTTTCTTTCTTAGTCAAAGTCTGTGTTGGGTAGGTGTTATTAAATTTCCATTTTTTTTCTTCTTAATCAAAGTCTCTGTTTGGCAGGNTATTCAGGTATTAAAACTTTATTAGGCTTCTTTCACATAGAAGAACTTAAGCCCAAAAATTGGTTAAATTTTATAGGCCAAGGTCTCAGCCTGTGTTGATTGCCCAATAAATTGGTAGTATGCTGCAGACAGATAGACAAAGTATGCACAGAAACACATGAATGAGTGAATAAATAAATTAATGAGAAAAGAAAAATGCAAGCAAACACTAGGTGACCAAATGTCAGCATCATGCTTAAATCATCATCATCATCATCATCAAAGAATCATGCTAAAACATGTTGCAAATAAACAGCAGAATAAAATACGGTTGACTTAACTAATAATTGAATTCTAGATTGATCTCTCTTCTTCATAACCTACCCAACTCCATGCCTTACACTAATATATATCAACTGAGGTGATTTTATGTTGATTTTCCAATCTAACCCCTTAATAATTCCCTCCACCTGTAAGATCTCCATATATCTGACTTAACTCACTTTAAAAATACTGTACTATTAATTACAAAAACAAACCATTATTTCAACAACGAGACAAAGTGTACTTCATGAAACTGAAAATGAGGCCATGCTGAGGAGAATTCCCCTGGTATAACAGTGACTATAAAAAATTTTTAAGGTAAAAGCTATGAAGCATCCACCGTTTTTCGCCTTTTCACATATCTTTGGCACTGTTGAAATGACAGTTTAAAGAACAGCAAGCAATCGGGTGTACATAACATATAAATAAATAAAGAAAAAATTTACAAATGAGACTAAAGAAGCGACATACACAACACACAAGGTTTCTAACCAAATCACCCAAGCAAGAAAGTAAGAAGAGGGCACAAAACAAGAAACATCGTCTTTATAACACACACCGGCGGTATTTTCGTACAACATCAAAATACTAAAACAAGAAATGTCTGCTCTTTTTCAAGAAGTAGGAAGATTCTTTGCACAGCTGACATGTGGGAAAACATCTAGTTAATATACAAGTGTTAGCAATGAGAAAATGAATGCTGATCTTTCTACGTGAATTATTCTAAACTTCAAATACAGTGAAAGAAACCTTCCTCTGGCCAAGGCCATGTCATTTTTTTTTTTAGTTTGTTTGCTGCAACAGGTGCAAAACAATGTTATCATCAGTACATGGGCATCAGAAGAGCATGACTTTCTTCTATGGCATCCCTTCTAAGATGTTAAATTTGTTGGAATAGTAGCTACACCACACTGTTTACTATGAAGAAGTATAATCTATTTATGTACAATTCAATTTTTTCAATACCATGAACAAAAAGAAGTCCTAATAATGCAGTTTTTTTCAACCTTTGGAGGCTTTTTAAATAGAAAGTTTCCCCATTTGAATTTAAAAGGATCAGTGCAGTAGTTTTCAAAGTCACACGATGTGTGAGGGACCTTTATCTAGCAAAGATTTCATATTTGCTGAAAATTTCAACACCTTTCAGGCTTTCACTTTATCACTAAGGAAGAACCTATTCAAAACTGGTAACAGAATTAAGATCTATAAATAGGTTTTTGAGTTCCAAGATTCTTGTTTTTGAGTCGTTCTTGTAAATTCTAGTATACTGACAGTAAAAATTATAAATTAAAAGCCGGAATTAAAGATAGCACAATTACAGATTTACAAAAGGATTTGGACAGGGTATACAATAGTGACTGATGAAAAATTCATGTTATTTTCAGGAAAACCTCTTTCTTCCTTTTTTTCTACATAAAGGTCCTCTGTGCAAATATGTTGTCAAAGTTATATTTAGCAAGAAAGTGTTATTTTTGGAGATAGATTGAGGAAAAACTAAAAATTACCTTCTTTAGCCCCCAGCATGGCCTCGTCTGTAAACCAATGAAAAACACTGTCTTATGAAAGGGCACAACCAATGAAAATACTACTTTCAAAAGGGCATATCCACTAAAAATGCTGTCTTCTGAATAGTCAAATCCAATAAAATCACCATCTAATGAGAAACAGTCTCATGTTTCTGCTAAACTCTTTACCTAACACTGGACAAAATTTTATAGCTTACAAAATCTTACCAGTAATGTATTTCAAAGATACTATAACATTGGTCAAGTGATAATGAAAGTATAGGAAGCAAGTTGTTAGAGCAGCTATGCAATAGGAAAACATGATTCAGATTGCATTCATTTTGTAGAGCTTCAAAAATTGCAACACTGAGGCCCTTTTCACATTGAGTGGCACTTGTACTGATATTAAAATACTTACGGAGTTTGACAACTTTATACCCTGCTTATTATTTAAAGTCCCTGCACTCAACAGGACCTGTGAAACATTTAATTTGATTGGTACAAAACCAGGTAGAACTCTGCCAAAACTGCTAGAAGTAAGCTTGTGAAAGAGGGTATACCCAAAATGCACAATTATATTTTAGAAGCAAAATATTTCCTGATATAATTATACATGTGCCACCCCATGTGAAAAGAATTCACCACATCTCTTTGCATTATAAACACAGAACTTTTTCTTATGAGGAAATACCCCAGTTTTTTAACCTAGGAGTATCTGTTCCTTGTAAACCACTTGTGATAAAACTCGAAAGCTCTCCTGCATAATACCAAACAACAGTGAAGTTGGTCCATCACTTTCAACACAATTCATGAAATAATTTAAAAACAATGCATCCATTGGTCCAATAAGCCACCACCCACCTGATGAGCTTTCCTTCAGGTAAGTGTTCTCTGTTCCCCCACTCAGTGTAATCTTCCCAACTTGGCTGCTGGAGCTGGACCGAATGCTGGAAATAAATAAATAAATAAATAAATAAATAAAGTATATTTTACGTAAGATCACGTTGGTATCAACAATGTGGTTCCTGAACAACAGACCAAATCTTGTATATTGTCAAACTCTTTGTTGCCACTTAATTCCTGATTAGACAATGAACAGATTCCCTGCGGGGATTACGCTACAAGCATTCAAGTGAGTCGCCCATATTTGATCCGCGTATCTGTTAGTCCGCTCTTCTGAGTGCTCCAAGATATTACGACAACAAAGAGTTTGACAATCTACACGATTTGTCAAAACTAATAAGAACTGTATTTGAATCGTTAACAAAAGACCACATGATAACCCTCAATCTGACAATGTACACACTTTATCAAAACTGGCAAAAACTATTTGAACTATAAACAAAAGACAGTATGATTACAAAGAGTTTGACAATCTACACGCTTCATCAAAACTGACAAGAACTGCATAATATAAATCATAAACAGCCTTCAACTTACCTAGAGTACAACACAGCCAGCAAGAAAATCAACAGTGCCACGATGCTCTCTCCGTCAAAATGTGGGGTGCCGGTGAGGTCACCAGCAGAGGCGGTGCTGTTTTGTTTGTTGTAGGTGCCGTCCAGGATAGAGCTCAGGCTGGGGTTACACAGTTTGTCTGATACAAATAAATATCTAGTTTTTATCAATGTGGAAATAGGAAATGAGAGAGAGAGAGAGAGAGAAAGAGTACAACTTAGTTCAGACTACAACTGGCACACTAAAAATGACCAATGCACTGGATTCAATTTTAAGAAGTAGTAAACATTTAAAGAGGATTGTGAAATCAGTTGTTTCTCTTTTTTATTTACATATGACTTGGTCCCTCTGATAATTTTCCGTATTTCTTTTTTTTTTTTCCTGATAATTTATTTACTTATTCATTCACTCTTTCACTGATACATCAAAAACTGATTGTGTTCTGTATGTTACCTGGGTTGTTGCTCATGGCAGACCAGGTCAGATACATCACGTAGCACGTTATGATGGCCGCCTGTAGCAAACCAGAGCGAGGCTGGGCTGAAAGAGGAAAAGACGCAATAAAATGATAAGACGAATACAGAGAACAAGCAATCTGCTCTTCGACAACTTCAACTTTAAAACTTAACATATCTAAGGTCCTAATCACATTGTGTGATAAACCATTCTGTTTCCCATCATTTTGAGAGAGGTATATTTTAATAGCCTGGCCATTACAAAGGAGAGTCACTTAAATGGTACCCCAACTGCCCCTGACATGAATGGGATTCATCTTCACTGGTCCAAACAGTAGGAAGCAAACTTTTGAAAGTGAGTATAAAACCCTAGGTAGTGTAATGACATGCCAGGAACAGTCAAAATGGACCGAAAATGAAAAGTGTACCACACAGGCCAGGGCTTGACACTAACATTTTTCGATACTGGCCCAAGATATTGGTAAATATTGCAAGGATGATTTGACACATGACATTTTACTTGCTCTTTGGGCCAGTGACCCCAGTAATTCAATGGCCCTAGGTTGGTTTTCATTGGCCCACGGCCACCCTTAATGTCAAGCCCTGCAGGCCTAAATCAATTCACCTGGTTTTAACACAAGAAATTAAGCTGATGGCCCAAAACTTAAGTCTGCCATGTAAAAGGCTAAGCTCAACTTAGACAACTATAAATTCAGTAACAGAGAGCATATTCCTGGGTTACGGGTCTACTTACCCTCCTGTATTTTGGGTAAGATAGCCACAATTGAGATCACCACACACAGGATCAGGTTGAAGCTGATGAAAAACTTGTGCAGTGAACAGTCCCCTCCCTGCAAGGTGAGAAACATTATCATGAAGCAAGAATAATAACATACCAAATATGTTTAAAATAAGTAAATGAATAAATAAATACAGATACAAACATGTTATGAGAAAGATCATAAGTCGCATTTTTTACTACGCTGCTATACATTAGCTTAAAAGTTTTTAAGAATCTGTCAGTTTGTCTACGCATTTATGTATCAAAAATGTCAACTGGAGCTAATGATCCAAAAGTCAACTCTACTCTGCATCTAAACTTGGTAAAAGGAGAAATGAAGAGATGTGATCTTGTAATACATTATTTGCAACCAGTTTAAGTGTTTCTTAAACAACATCCTGTGCCCCGTATTACATGGTGTCACATGTCACGACACACAAACCTTATATGTAAATAATATGCATAAACTACACAAATTATTGTAAGCCATTTGGAAAAAATATCAGCAATGACCATATTATTTAGACAACTTACTGATGTGTAGAACACGTAAAACAACACCACTGCAGTGATTGCTACCAAGTAGAACACTATGGTGAAAAACAACAACCCTGAAAATACAAAGTACTAAATAAAATTTACTTTCATATTGCATATTAGCAGAGGTTTATAAAATAATCAAGATAAAGATTTACCTCTCTTTTTAAAATACTGTCTAAAAGGACTAGCAGTTTAAACATTTACAATATGGGTTAAGTAACTCAATAATATTTGTGGATGAAAAATGGTGATAAGGTTGGTGGCTGGATACTTTACTTTCTTTTAGAAAGGCAATTAAGGGGGAGGAGTTTGACTTTTCATTTTCTACAAAAACTTTTTTTTTCCTTGAAATTTGCAAATTTGATGCAATTTGGAGCAGTTTGCTGTATTTTACTATATCTGATATAAGTATCCCTCTCCTCCTACTTGGAGACTAATTCTGTCTTTGTGATTTGGAAAAGTGAGCTGAATACATTAACATGGATGACAATCGGAGTCTTCTGCAAGTTTGTTTCACTGCTTTGTACTTTGGAATAGTGGGCAAAGTGGGAGGGGGGAGGGGTGTGTGTGTGCGATGTCTTCAGAGTCTTCTACCACCCACCTGCGAACCACCCTTTGTTTTCGTTCTCTTCGTAATTGCCCACCCACTTCTCATTCCACGAGTGTGCAAAGTCTATCAGCAAGATCAACTGTATAATAATGAACAGAAAGCCGCCGACCATGCCAAACCACATAAACACTGGAAATAGAACAACAAAACATTAAAAGGCAGCTCCATGGGACTTATCTGCCAAATGAATTTTCCCGGGGAAAATAAGCAATTTTCTTTTAGTACTTTTCTATGAAGCAAAAGCACAACAAATGATATTCAGAAATACAATTTTTGTGATTATAAAATAACCTATCTGAAAGTTTGAAAATTTCTGCCCACTGAAAAGATCGGAGTAGATACCGTATTGTTGAAAGCGCCTTACCTTGTTCAAATGTGGGCTGGACAGCATTGGCGCCACCTGGGATGAAGAAAGCTCCCACCGCAACTCCAATCAGGACCAGGATCTTGATACCCCAGAACCTGAATAAATAAATAAATTAATTAATAAATAAATAAATAAATAAATAAATAAAGATAATTTTAAAAATATAGAAGTGGGAATATAAAAGATCTCTCCTGGCTATTCATAAATTGCAAAAGGCAGGAAAAGTTCTGCCAGTGCCAAAGGAGTTCAAAACTGATGATTGGTGCACTTAATTTTGACTACGATAGATGCAAAAGACAAAAGATCAAGGAGAGGCGTAACGCACATTCATGCACATCGTTTTTGCGTGCGTGCATGCATGTCAGACACACCACAGCTTGGTTTTTGTTCTCAACATCTCGCGATCTCAACCACTGGTTTAACTTTACCCATTCTGTATGCCAGCACGTGGGTCCTTCGATGTCTTCACGTTGATCATGATCAGCATGAGGAGGAAGAAGAACGCAGCCATGGCAAAGCAGACCCTGTAGACGGAGGCATAGCCCACCACTCGAGTACAGTCCACTAAAGCATGTGTAGCTAGAAACCCAGGGTCACAGAGATATGGTATCTAAAATAAAAATTGATTATATTTTTAAAATTTATTAAACTATAAATAAAATATTATCACTTAGGTGTGGTTTGCAAAAAAAGAAATAATTCCACTCAGATATGAAATCTTAAAAAATTTGAAGATATCTGAAATTTGAATTCATTACTATTGGTCTTAAACAGGAGTCATGATTTTCTTTTACTAAAACAGGCACAATGCCTCACCTTATCAAGCTGTTCTTGTAGTCCAGGTGCCAAGAATATACAAGCAATCACGGAACCCAGCAACAGAGTCAGCGCGTATGCAATACGCGTGGCAGTCGAGTTTTTGCACGACGGACATGCTGCACAGCACAGACTGCACGCTGCAGACCCGCAGCAGCATGCAAGCTGAAACAGAGGAAGACAACAAATAATTATTCATTTGTAGCATATAACATGGGTACAGCAGGCATACAAAATTTAAGCCAAATGCCCAAAACGATGTTTTGATTATAAACTGATATCATGTATACATATGCATATGGAGTGTTCACAGAGTATAATGAAAAGGTTTACTTTTGGGGTTCCTCAGCCCCTTTCACACATTACTCTTTAAATCTGTAATCCTACACTAAGCAGAAACTTTCAAAACATTTCAGTGCAGAAACTTAACTTTTTTTTTTCTTTTTATCTATCAAAATATTTTAAGTTATCTTTTTACAGGTGCATCCAATTGAAAATATGTTCTCAAATCATTAAGATTAAAATATTCTCAAATATATATATATATATATATACTCGGGCTCTGTCACTGTCATTTCACGGATTAGGATTACGTTCTGTCTACTTTTCTACAAATATTACTTTCAATATTCAAAACAAAGGAACTATTCCATCTGGTTTTCTACTTACGCTGCCTAAAATACAACCCATCTTTGTACGACTACTTCTCAGATAATTCTATTTCAAGCTGCGAAGAAGTGTGTGTTTTTAAACCAATCTTGCTGAGTGTCACGGGATTTTTCGTCACCGATTTCCTAATGATTTCTTTTCTTCCTGCAAAAATGGCGTATGACTAATATTGACATCACGTTTAATCTCGCCCTTACGAAAACCACTAATTTTTCAAATTCGGACTACACACTTATTTCTCACTGAATAATCACACATTGTTGTAGCAGATATATTACTGAAGGTAAAATAATAAATGTTCCTATCTAAAACAAGAAAGGGGAAAAAAAAGCGACGTGGCCTTGACCTCAATTTGAGCAGCTGAGACACTTCTTGATTGTGTTGTAGAGAATCCAGATAAGAGCGGTCGGGATGCTTCCCTATTAACTCCTGTCAGACAGACTCGAGGAAGAGAGCCTTTTATCGCAGAAAAAGGTAGGTTCGTTGTCCCAGAAAGTAAGTTACGTTAAATCGAAAGGTCGAAGTGTTTTTTGCGGGCAACTTTATTTGGGGCGATTTGGAACTCAAACAGAAGTCTATACTCTTTAAGTTCTAACTTATTGTTTAGATTATAATGTGCCTAGGGTACTTACAATAAGATTTATGCGAACTAGAAAAAGAAGGACTTGAATAAGAACACAGTTATGCATCGCAGAGAAAATCGAAGTGTCATAACCCTTACAGTACGTAGAATAAATTTCACACATTTAAGTTAAACCATTGATTTCAAACCCAAAGTCAATCATATTTCCAAATGGGCTCTCTCTCTCTGTCTCTCTCTCTCTCTCTCTCTCTCTCTCACACACACACACACACACACACACACACACATTTGTAATTAAGGAAAATCATGTCAAAATCAAATTAAGGAAAATTTCTAAGAAAAATCATGCACAGGAGGAATCAGCGAAAATGAAGCTGTAAATTATTTGCTGTTCTAAATGGCTTGTTTTAGACATTCTACGTTTAAGTCTACTTCTACAGACTTAGTGACCATTCCCATAAACCTATCGTACTAGCAGAATTGATCTGTCTTCCTGGGGATTCTGTCTAACTAGCATTTGGTTTAAGCATGCACAATAGTTAATTACCCCCTGCCCCCCCCCCCCCAGTACTAGTAGCTTTAGTAGGTGTGACAGACATTAAAGCTGCTTTTAAAACTGAATGCAATTTAGGAAGAATCCCCTCGGAGGTAAATCGATCCTGCTAGTATGAAATGTTTATGGGAACCCAGTCTTATTTGAGACTGAAATTGAGCTTTTATATTCTCAGTCTGAACGTTTTAACTAACTTAGACCAGTTAGAGACTTCAGCTCCTTTGTGTCATTAAGTTCCAATTTCAGTATAGAAAACCTCTGTTAAAGGAAAATATCTTAAATGTTAATTTTGCTCGGCGACCTTTCATCCACAACTCCCTCTGTTGGCCATTGTTTCGATGCCTTAGTAACCAAGCAACGCCATGACAGATGAAGCCTGGGAATGTTACGAAGGACACCCCTGACAGGGTTTCCCGCTTTAGCAAATTGATCATCATTATTACCATAGAGAATGTTATCCATCAATTACCGGGAAACATTTATATGCTCTTCCCGTAGGAGTATTGAGCTGTTTTTATTCCGACCTCTGTATTACTCAGGAAATTAAATGCATTGCATGTCATATTTGTTAATGGAGTTGATATGCGTGGCTTGCTGGTGACTGGTTTAAAACCGGGATAGCTTGGATAACAGTGGGAGAATGCGAGGCTGGGGTATCGCTAACACTCGCCAATTTAGCCAAATGCTAAAACAGTATAATAAGTGTTGAAAACCTGAAATAACTGGGATAGCAATGGGATTGAAGTGGGATAACAGTGGGATGACAGGAGGAAAACAAAGAATAACTATTATGATTCCCCCTCTTTTTCTTCAACTTAGAAGAATGGTTACTCATCACCTTTTAGCTAGATTTATATATTATTATTGTTGATTTTTCATAATGACATAAACAGCTTGTTGTTTGATGAAAAAAGTTTGTTGTGATGTCTAAAGATTTCGTACAAGTCAAAACACCAAATCTGACTGATATTTATGATAGTAACTGTGTAAGCATTTTAAATGGCTGGATTCATTAGATTGCAGACTAACAATTATTCAGAACTTATATTCTTATTCAGCAGTGTTGATTGCCAATTTATAAGTGTTATATGATTATCTGTAGATAAGCTCTTGGAATTAGTTTTTTATTTAAATAAGTTATTTTGTAATGAATTTGAAAACCTTGGGTATCTCTGAATTTGAAAACCTTGGTATCTCTGTTTCTGATAACCTTTTAGATGGATTTTTGATTAGTATTTTAAGGCGACAGTGTTCCAAATGGCTGCCTTGTTTCAGTGATGATGATAAATCACACATACTTATTCAGCTGGCTTCTTTAGAAATGTTGTTGGCAACAGGAAATAAAATCATTAACTCCAGTATAAGAAGAAGCCAGATGTGTGTCAAAGACAATCACTTCAGTACAGTATATTAGTTGAAGCCAGAACCATATTCAAGACAAAAAAAAAAAAAAAAAAAAAAACATATAGTCTGGTTTTATAAATTCAGTTGAGAGAGAGAGAGATTTCTTTTCTTCCTGCAAAAATGGCGTATGACTAATATTGATATCACGTATAATCTCGTCTTTACGAAAACCACTAAATTTTCAAATACGGAATACACACTTATGTCTCGCTGAATAATCATATCATTATTATAGCAGATATATTACTGAGGGTAAAATAATAAATGTTCCTATCTAAAACAAAAAAGGGAAAATTTAATATTATTTAATAGTAAAGTCTTACCTTTATTAATTCATTCAGGGGCACACATCAAACATAGTTTGTTTGAAAATGATATGCACAAAATCTTCCAAGGTTAAAGGGATAACGACTCCCTATGATCCCTATTTTACAATAAATAGATTGTAAACAACTCAAGGAAATATAATAAATTCTATTTAATCACCAAAATGGCAGTTATTGCAATTATTCTTGAATCTGCCCTTGTCATTGAACTAATGATCTCCATAGATGGCTAGATACGGTACCTCCTTAATAATCTCTTAAGAGATTATTATAAAAAAAACCAAACTTCTTTGGAAATAGCTTTGGCTAGCTTTGAATGTCGGAACTGAGTCATTAACCATTGGTTATTATGGGAAAATTGTCATTAAACCCAGGAAAATCCATTTTTTGGCTCGAACAAATGGTAGTTATCCCTTTAATAACTAATGAGATGGATGATGATTGTAAGGAAGAATTTTAGGCATATAATTATATTTGTATGTGCTTTTGTTGTAATTTCACTAATTATTATATTTGATCAATCATATTTTTAAAAATAAAATATTTTGAACCGCCAGGTATGACTTTTTGTGATTTTTGGATTACCTTCAGTTATCTTAAAAGTTAATAAAAAGTTTTTTTTTTTTTTTTTTTTACATCGCGTGTTGGAATAAGAACCTGGTTGACTCGCATCCTTTCTATTAGATGTGGGGAAACCACATGAAAAGTCATGAAATCCAGAATCAGAGCAGCAGATTTGTGCGGACGAAAAGCTGCTAAGTGCTGTCTGGCGTACATATTAACCTTGCATTATGTTCAAGGCATAGAACAGGTAAACCTTTGATGTTCCTGTTCGAGTGCCTGCTTGTTGTTGCCATTATTGCTGTGATAATTTGCTGAGTGTGCTACGGACAATAGAAAAACACTTCAGTGTCTCGTTCTGTCAGGGACGTGTCAATGGGTAGATAATGTCTGAACCCTGGATCCATTAGCTAGATTCTAGGTAATCCCAGTTTCATAGATTTTATTATTATGTTATGTAATATTAATACCTTTACTAAGAGTTGTAGCCACACCAGTACATGATACTCCTTCAGGGGCTGATTTCACAAAGGAACCATTTTAAAGGGATAATAACTCTTCGTTTTGCCCAAAAAATGAATTTTCCTGGAGTAAACAACAATTTTCCCATACTTACCAATGGTTAATGAATCCGTTTTTACATTCAAAGTTATTCCCTGGTTTTTTTTCTAAAAAGTTTGGTTTTTTGTTAAAATTGCTTAAGAGATTATAACAGAGTATAGCCATCAATGGAGGTCACGTGATCTGAAGACAAGCTAAGATATCAGAATAATAGCTATAACTGCCGTTTGTATGGTAAAACAGAATGTATTATATTTCTTTGAGTTGTTCACAATGTTTTTATTGTGAAATAAAGATATTATACGAAGAGTTATTATCCCTTCAAGTATTAGATTTGGTCTTAACTTTAAGATTGATGTGATCAACATTTTAGAACGATATTCCGAACAAGTTGATCTGCAAGACCCCATTCCCAGAGATTAGATCGATCCAAACTAGATCAACCTAACTCCCTGGGGGTTCACGCTAAATAGCTGTCAGCCGAGCGGGCACGAAAGTTAATTACCCCCTTACAGCTCGTAGTAGGCGGGACGGACATTGAAGTCGGATTATCTGACAGTGATCTAGTGAGACTCCCCACGGGGATAGATCGATGTAAATGTCTGGGAATATGCCCCAAGGTTGCACATCTTCAGATCAAATATGGCCCAAGCACATTAAAGCAGAGCTGACTAATTGCTGATGGTCTCCCTGCCTCCAAAGACACAGACCCTGCAGCGGTCCAGCAATGAAACTTCGGAGGTGAGAGGTGGCAGAAATGGCCGAGGGTTGTACATACAGTAGCGCAGAAAGAAAGCAGAAAATATCTGTTTCATTTTTTTTTTTTTTTTTTTTTTTTTTTTTTTTTTTTGGTGATGGCATTTGGTAGGGTTTAGCAGCAGAGGTTTGACTTCCTATGTAACCTTAAAGTTGCAACTGCTCTTTTCAGGCTACATCACTTTTGTGAGAGCGGATCCAATTGTATTGATGTGGGCTTTAAGCTTATGGAAAAAAAATGAAAAAAGGATTGACAAGAGATGACATAAACAGAAAATATTTTCATTCCCAACCCAGTTGCATTGATGTTGGTTTATGGAAAAACTGGAGAAAAAAATGGACAAGTGTTGACATAAACAGATAATATTTTCATTCCCAACCCAGTTGCATTGACTTTTGTTTATTGAAAACAGGAGAAAAAATAGACAA